GAAACCCTGTACCCCATATGTGCTACCCCACTATAGCCTACAACAACTATGTCATATAAATCTGACATTCCCTGCGTCTTCCTTGACTTCCCCCCTGACGCGCCTGGTTGGCAGTTTTACCACCCTACCTCGCGCCGTGTTCTGCCCTCCCAGGACGTCACGTTTGATGAGTCAATTCCTTACTACCATCTCTTCCCCTACCGCACTGCACCCCTCCCCCCGCCGCCGCTCTTCCTCGTGCAAGTTCCCCCCCCCCCCCCGTAGACCCCCTTCCCCTCAAGGTCCTGCCCCCTCAGGTGTGTCCCAGGTAGACGCAGTCGAGCCTGTCGAGGTAGCTGTTGACTCTGGTGCTGCTAGGGATGCTGGGCCTGCGGGTGCGAGGTCTGGGGGTGATGAGTCTGGGGGTGTTGAGCCTGGGGGCGCTGAGTCTGGGGATGCTGAGCCGGGTGCTGAGACTGGGGGTGCGGAGCCTAAGGGTGCTGGGCTTTCTCGTGTGGGTCTGGCGGTACTAGGTCTGGAGGTCCTTCGGGTGCTTTGTCCCGGCGGGAGCTACCCTCTCCACAGGAGCTGCTCGAGTGGTTTGCTCGGCGCTGGAGCCGTGCTGCTGGAGCTGGAGGTGCTGCTGGAGCTGGAGGTTCTACTGCTGCTGAGGGTGCTGGTGCCACAGGTCCCGGAGGTGCTGGTACTGGAGGTACTGGAGCTGCTGGGCCTGGGGGTGCTCCTGGTGCTGGAGCTGCTGGCGGTGCTGGAGTTGGGGATGCTGCTGGAGTAGGTGCTGCTGGAGGTGCTGGAGCTGGGGCAGTTGAGTCTTCCGGTGGTCCTGCTAGAGCTGCAGCTGCTGGAGGTGCTGGAGCTCGAGGTGCTGCTGGTACCGGTGCTCCTGTGTGTGCTGGATTTGCTGCTCCTGGAGCTGGTGGAGCTGCTGGAGTCGGGGGCGACCCTGGGGGTGCTGGTACTGTCCCTGCTAGTTGTGGAGGTGCTGCGCGGCCACGGCCGTACTTCGTTCCACTCCTTGAGCAGGTTCTTGGTCTTCCGCCCTCTACTGGTCATGCTCCTTCCTTAGTGTGTCCACTGCCTGTCCAGTCGTAGTCACAGTTACAGCCCGCCTCCCCACTGCCTGCTCCTTCTCCCTACATTGGTCCTACTAGAGGTCTTGCTGAGCGTCGTGAGCCTGAGTCTCGTCCTGCGTTGCCTGTTCGTGCTGCTCGCACTAGTCGTCGTGTTCCGCGTCAGCGTCCTCCTGCGGTCCCGGGCACACACCAGATGGCGCTGCGTCCTTCCACTGCTCCAATGCGTGTCCCTTTGCTCTCTCCTCCAGAGCCCTCTCTTCCTGCTCTTGCTGACCCGGAGTCTGACTCCCTTCGTGCTGCCAGTCCTACTGTCACGCGTCTCCTGGCTACTGTTGTCAGTGACCCTTCCTTTGAATCCACTACTGCGTTTGCCTTGGTTGCTGAGCTTGTCGACTTTGCTACTCGCTGTCGTCTAGACTATGCTGCTAGTCTTGTTGCTGGGTCTGAGTCTGTCTGTCCTCCGTCCGTCGGGGGTGAGTGTGCTGAGCCTGGGGGTATGGAGCCTGGGGGTGTGGAGCCAGGGGGTGCTGAGCCTGGGGTCACGGAGCCTGGGGGTGCGGAGCCTGGGGGTGCTGGGTCTGCTCGTGTGGCCTCTAGCGGTGCTTCGTCGAGGTGGGAGCTACTCTCTCCGCACAAGCTGCGCGAGTGGTTTGCCCGGCGCTGGAGCCGTGCTGCTGGAGCTGGAGGTGCTACTGTTGCTACAAGTCCTTAAGGTGCTCCAACTGGCGGTACTGGAGCTGTTGGGACTGGGGGTGCTGCTGGGGCTGCTGGAGTCGGTCCTGCTGGAGGTACTGCTGGAGCTGCTGGCAGCACTGGAGCTGACGGTCCTACTGGCGCTGGAGCTGCTGGGGGGGTTGGCGCTGGAGGTGCTGCTGGCACTGGTGCTTCTGAGGGTGCTGGAGTTGGCGTTGTTGGAGCTGGAGGTGCTATTGGCGCTGGTGCTGACTCTAGGGGGTACTGGTGCTGTCCCTACTGGTTCTGGAACAGCTGCGCGGCCGCGGCCGTACTTCGTTCCGCTCCTTGAGCAGGTTCTTGGTCTCCCGCCCTCTACTGGTCCTGCTCCTCCCTTAGAGTGTCCACAGCCTGTCCAGTCGCGGTCACAGCTCCAGCCCGCCTCCCCCCTACCTGCTCCTTCTACCTACACTGGTCCTACTGGAGGTCTTGCTGAGCAACGTGAGCCTGTGTCTCGTCCTGCGTTGCCTGTTCGTGCTGCTCGCACTAGTAGTCGTGCTCCGCGTCCGCGTCCTTCTGCGGTCCAGGGCACACACCAGATGGCACTGCGTCCTTCCACTACTCCTCTGCGTGTCCCGTTGCCGTCTCCTCCAGAGTCCTCTCTTCCTGTCCTTGCTGACCCGAATCTGACTCTCTTCGTGCTGCTAGTCCTACTGTCACGCGTCTCCTAGCTACTGTTGTCACTGACCCTTGCTTTGAGTCCACTGCTCCGTTTGCCTTGGTTGCTGAGCTTCTCGACTTTGCTGCTCGCTGTCCTCTAGACTACGCTGCTAGTCTTGTTGCTGAGTCTGAGTCTGTCTGTCCTCCGTCCGTCAGGGGTGAGTGTGCTCTTAGCACGGACGTCCTTGAGGACAGGCAGGAGGAGTTCCAGTGTTTTGCTGCTGCTTTACCTCATCTCGTGTCCATGCTGATTCCCCCTGAGGGAGACCCGGATGCACCAGACATCCCAACTCCGCGCTCTTACGCAGAGGCGATAGAGGGTCCCTACTCCTCTCAGTAGCAGTCAGCCATGGACACAGAGATGGCTTCCTGGAAGTCCACAAGCACCTAGATTGAGGAGGTTCCCCCACCTGGGGCGAACACCGTCAGTGGCATGTGGATTTTCAGGGTGAAGCGGCTGCCTAGCTCTGCGCCTGTCTTCAAGGCACGTTACGTGGCTCGAGGCTTCAGTCAGCGGCAGGGAGTTGACTACTTTCAGACCTTCTCTCCCACCCCAAAGATGACCACTCTTTTGATGCTGCTGCATATAGCCGCTTAGCGCGACTTTGAGCTTCACTCTCTTGACTTCAGTACTGCTTTCCTACAAGGCAGCCTGCACGAGGAGATGTGACTGCGCCGCCCACCTGGCTTCACTAGGTCGTTTCCTCCTAGTACCCAGTGGAGCCTCCGGCGGCCAGTCTACGGTCTCCGCCAGGCGCCCCGTGAGTGGCATGACACACTGAGGACTACACTTGCGGCTCTTGGGTTTGCTCCTTCTACTGCCGACCCGTCGCTGTTTCTACGCACCGACACTTCTTTGCCGCCGTTCTACATCCTCATGTACGTCGACGACTTCGTTTTCCTACTGCTGACACTGCTGGACTCGCCCACGTGAAGTCCAAGCTGCAGAAGAGACTCACGTGCACAGACCTGGGTGAACTGCGCAGCTACCTTGGCTTGCAGATCACCCGGGACAGAGCACGGCGCACCATTACCCTGACTCAGTCACACATGGTGCAGCAGGTCCTTCAGCGCTTCGACTTCACGTAATCCTCGCCTCAGACCAATCCTCTGTCTACTCGCCACTCGCTCTCAGCTCTGCCTTCGGATGAGTCTGTAGAGCCGAGTGGCCCGTACCCAGAGCACATGGCTGCAGCGAAGAGGGTGTTGCGCTACTTGTGCAGTACGTCAGGCATGGGGCTTGTGCTTTGAGGGCGGAGTCCAGTGGTCCTCACTGGTCACGCAGACGCTTCTTGGGCTGACGACCAGGCTACGCAGCGGTCGTCACAGGGTTACACCTTCAGCCTTGGTTCCGGCTCGGTTTCGTGGCGGTCTACCCGCTCGTCTTCTGTTCTCGGCTCCAGCTGTGAGGCTGAGATCTACGCAGGGGCCATGGCTGCACATGAGTTACGCTGGCTCACCTACCTGCTGACTGACCTAGGAGAGCCGCCTCATTCTGTCAAACTCATATCATATAGCTTGTCTAGGCTATAGTGGGGTAGACACTATGGGGTATTGCTTCCTAGGGTTTCCTACTTGTACCCAACCTTTTGCTAGTTCATTCATTCCTCATTCTTCACATGGTATAGAGCAGGTTCCCTCGTGGGAACGCTTCTGAGGGCCCACCACCTAACTCGACCTTTTTTTTCTGCCCGAGGCGTGCCCCATAGGTCGCCCTCACGTTGCGCCCTCCAAGAGGCCCCTCTCGCCACCCTTAGCGGCCCTGTCGCCGTCCTCAGCGACCCCGTTGCCGCCCCTCTAGGCCCCTCGCGGCCCCTTGACGGCCCCGTTGCCGCCGCTCTAGGCCCCGTTGCCGCCGCTCTAGGCCCCTTGCGACCCCTTCACGGCCCCGCCGCCGCCGCTCTAGGCCCCTTCGCCGCCGCTCTAGGCCCCTCGCAGCCCCTTCACGGCCCCGTCGCCGCTGCTCTAGGCCCCGTCGCCGTCCCTACAGGCCCCCTCACGGCCCCTTCATGGCCCGGTCGCCGCCCCTAGCGGCCCCGTCGCCGCCCCTAGCGGCCCCGTCGCCGCCCCTCTGGGCCCCTTGCGGCCCCTTCGCGGCCCCGTCGCCGCCACTTGCGGCCCCGTCGCCGCCCCTCTACGCCCCTTGCGGCTCCTATGCGGCCCCGTCGCCGCCCGTAGCGGCCCCGTCGCCGCCCCCCCCTTCGCGGCCACCTCACCGCCCTTAGCGGCCCCGTCGCCGCCCCTAGCGGCACCGACGCCGCCTCTACCGGCCCCGTCGCCGCCTCTACCAGCCCCTTCATCGCCAGGCCGCCCAGCAGCTGAGCAGCCGAACCACCCAGCAATCTAGCCGCCCAACAGCTGAGCCGCCGAGCCGCCCAGCAGCCGAGCCGCCGAGCCGCCCAGCAACTGAGCCGCCGAGCCGCCGAGCAACCGAGCCGCCGAGCCGCCCTGCCGTCGAGCCACTACTGTTCCTACTGGCGCGCCCCGGCCCTACTTACTCGGACTGGTGAGCTCCCTCCCAGCTAGGCCACTGCGGTCATGGCTACCCCCACTGTCCTTACCTTTGATGCTGAGGGTCGTGCTGTTGACTTTGAGGTCTGGGTCGATGACCTCCAGCTGTTCCTACAGTGCGATAGGGCAGACGGACTCTCCCTGTTCGATCTCACCTCTGGTGCCTCTCCTGCCCCGCCTTCTACTGCTGACAGCACTGTTCGCTCACAGTGGGCCACACGCGATGCTGCTGCTCGCCTTGCTGTGCGTCGCCACTTACCGACCACTGAGTGTGCACAATTTAGCCAGTACAAGAGTGCTAAGACCTTGTATGACGCTGTAGTTGCACGCTACTCCTCCCTTGCCACTGCTGCGCTTAGCCGCCTCATGCTACCGTACCTGTTCTCTGACCTTGCTGCCTTTCCCACAGTCGCTGACCTCATTACGCAACTTCGCACTAGTGACTCTTGCTACCGCGCTGCGCTTCCTGCTGAGTTCTGTGCCAAGAACCCCCCCCCCATGTACATCACCCTCTACTACATAGTCACTTGGCTCCGTGACTCCCTTCTCTTAGTCAGGGACCACTTCCTCTTAGTTTGCCCCACCACACTCACCGTTGACCTCCTCGAGGAGCGCCTCCTAGCAGCAGAGAAGAGCATAGTCGCTGTAGGAGCCTCTCGTGGTGACCCTCGCACCCCCGTCTTTGAGGAGTGTTCCCCCTCCCCCCTCTTGCCCACTATTGCTTCTGCTGCTGCGGCCGACCTCGTTGGTTTCGAGTCGGTTGGCGCTGCGTCTGCCCCTAGCGGGAGACGCCGCACCGGCAAGGGCAAGGGGGGCAAGGGCGCTGGAGGGGCTGGCGGGGGCGGTGGAGGTGGTGGTGGAGGCAGTGGAGGGGGTGGGGGTGGTGGTGGGAGTGGTGGCGGGGGTGGAGGTGTCGGTGGCAGCAGTGGAGGCTGAGGAGGCGGCGGCAGTGGCGTAGGGAGCGGAGGCGGCGGAGGTGGCGGAGGCGGCGGAGGTGGCGGAGGCGGCGGCAGCAGCAGTGGAGCTGGTCGCGGCTCTGTGAAGAGGAGTGGGTCCGGTGGTGGTCCACGCCAGCAGCAGCAGCGCAGTTGTGAGACCCTGTCCCCTCAGCAGCTTCGTGAGTGGTACGTTGCACGTCAGCGCGGTGGGGGTACTGGTCCCTGCACCTACGTCCTCCGTACCGGCGACCGCGCTGGTGAGAAGTGCCGGGGCCCGCACTCCACCCAGCGCTGCTTCGGCCGCCTGACGGACGCGTGGCATCACCATTTCCCTAAGGCCTCTGAGATCCCTCGCTGGGGAGAGCTGTCTAGGGCGGGGGTTGCTATCTTTGATCTTGATTATGATGCTATTCTTGCTGCCATGTATGCTGTGTCTGATAGTGTTGAGGATGACTGTTACCTGTGTGTTCCGCCTGACCCGGGCATTGAGACTGTTGCTCTAGGTGCTAGTGCGTCTGCTGCTCCAGGTGCTGGTGAGTCTGCTCTCTCAGGTACTACGTCGGCTCATGCCTTACACACCTTCACCCTTGAATCGGGTGCTTCCCGCTCCTTTCGAGACCGCACCACACTTAGTGTGGGCCTGGGGGTGCTGAGTCTGGGGGTTCTGAGCCTGAGGGTGCTGATTCTGGGGGTGCTGAGCTTGGGGGTGCTGAGCTTGGGGGTGCGGAGCCTGGGGGTGCTGGGTCTGCTCGTGTGGCCTCTCGCGGTGCTTTGTCGAGGCGGGAGCCACTCTCTCCGCAGGAGCTGCGCGAGTGGTTTGCACGGCGCTGGAGCCGTGCTGCTTGAGCTGGAGGTACTACTGTTGCTGCTGGTCCCGGAGGTACTCGTACTGGCCGTGCTGGAGCTGCTGGGACTGGGGGTGCTACTGGGGCTGCTGGAGTTGGTCCTGCTGGAGGTACTGCGGCAGCTGCTAGCGGTACTGGAGCTGCCGGTCCGTCTAAAGCTGCTTGGGGTGTTGGCGCTGGTGGTTCTGCTGGCGCTGGTGCGTCTCAGGGTGCTGGAGTTGGCGCTGTTGGAGCTGGAGGTGCTACTGGCGCTGGTGCTGCCGCAGGGAGTACTGGTGCTGTCCCTGCTGGGTGTAGAGGCGCTGCGCGGCCGCGGCCGTACTTCGTTCCGCTCCTTGAGCAGGTACTTGGTCTCCCGCCCTCTACTGGTCCTCCTCCTCCCTTAGAGTGTCCACAGCCTGTCGAGTCGCGGTCATAGTTACAGCCCGCCTCCCCCCTACCTGCTCCTTCTCCCTACACTGGTCCTACTGGAGGTCTTGCTGAGCGTCGTGAGCCTGCGTCTCGTTCTGCGTCACCTGTTCGTGCTGCTCGCACTAGTAGTTGTGCTCCGCGTCCGCGTCCTCCTGCGGTCCCAGGCACACACCAGATGGCACTGCGTCCTTCCACTGCTCTCCCACCCCGAAGATGACCACTCTTCGAGTGCTGCTGCACATAGCCGTTCAGCGCGACTACGAGCCCCACTCTCTTGACTTCAGCACAGCTTTCCTGCAGGGCAGCCTCCACGAGGAGATCTGGTTGCGCCGCCCACCTGGCTTCACTGGGTCGTTTCCTCGTGGTACCAAGTGGAGCCTCCGGCGGCCAGTCTACGGTCTCCGCCAGGCGCCCTGTGAGTGGCACGACACACTGAGGACTACACTTGCGGCTCTTGGGTTTGCTCCTTCTACTGCCGACCCGTCGCTGTTTCTACGCACCGGCACCTCTCTGCCGCAGTTCAACATCCTCGTGTACGTCGACGACTTGGTCTTTGCCACAGCTGACACTGCTAGACTCGCCCACGTGAAGTCCGAGCTGCAGAAGAGACACACGTGCACAGACCTGGGTGAACTGCGCAGCTACCTTGGCTTGCAGGTCATCTGGAAAAGAGCACAGCGCACCATTACCCTGACTCAGTCACACATGGTGCAGCAGGTCCTTCAGCGCTTCGGCTTCACGTACTCCTCGCCTCAGGCCACTCCTCTGCCTACTCGCCACTCGCTCTCAGCTCTTCCTTCGGATGAGTCAGTAGAGCCGAGTGGTCCGTACCCAGAGCTTGTTGACTGCCTCATGTACCTGATGACCTGCACACGATCTGACCTTGCATACCCTCTTAGCATCTTGGCACGCTATGATGCTCGTGGGAGACACCGACCAGAGCACATGGCTGCATTGAAGAGGGTGTTGCGCTACTTGTGCAGTACGTCGGGCATGGGGCTAGTGCTTGGAGGGCGACGTCGAGTGGTCCTCACAGGTCACGCAGATGCTTCTTGGGCTGACGACCAGGCTACGCAGCAGTCGTCACTGGGTTACACCTTCAGCCTTGGCTCCCACTCTGTTTTGTGGCGGTCTACCCGCTCGTCTTCTGTTCTCGGCTCCAGCTGTAAGGCTGAGATCTACGCGGGGGCCATGGCTGCACAGAAGCTACGCTGGCTCACCTACCTGCTTACTGACCTAGGAGAGCCGCCTCGTTCTCCTCCAGTGCTGTACGTAGACAACAAGGCCATGCTGGCCTTTTGTCGGGAGCACAGATTGGAGCACAGGACGAAGCACATTGCTCTCCGCTACTTCCTTGCTCGTAAGCTGCAGCTGCGTGGTGAGCTGCGCCTTGCTTACGTGGCCTCTGAGGCCAGCACTGCTGATATCTTTACCAAGGCACTTCCGCCTGGTGATCATCAGCGCTTTCTGTACTATGCTAGGTCTTGTGCCTTCTTGGCCTCACTTGCTCACTTCTTGACCTTGCTTGTACTGTGATCTTTCTATACCTGCACATGCCTGTTTACCTTTATATATAATCTTGCATGTGAACTGGCCTTTATGCCTTGCTCTTGTGCTCGGATTGTGTGGTGACGTTGTGATCCAACCTGAGCTTGCTTTGCTTTGCTTGACTTGTCTTGTGACCTCTTGTTCTCTCCCACTTTGCCTATTGGGGTGTGTCAAACTCATATCATATAGCTCGTCTAGGCTATAGTGGGGTAGACACTATGGGGTACAGTTTCCTAGGGTTTCCTACTTGTACCCAACCTTGTGCTCGTTCATTCATTCCTCATTCTTCACACGTTCTCCTCCAGTTCTGTACGTAGACAACAAGGCCATGCTGGCCTTGTGTCGGGAGCACAGACTGGAGCACTGAACAAAGCATATTGCTCTTCGCTACTTCCTTGCTCGTGAGCTGCAGCAGCGTGGTCAGGTGCGCCTTGCTTACGTGGCCTCTCGGGCCAACACTGCTGATATCTTTACCAAGGCACTTCAGCCTTGTGATCATCAGCGCTTTTGTACTATGCTAGGTCTTGTGCCTACTTGGCCTCACTTGCTCATTTCTTGACCTTACTTGTACTGTGATCTATATATACCTGCTCTTGCTTGTTTACCTTTATAAATATATATAATCCTGCATGTAAACTAGCCTTTGTCCGAATGTTATGCTCTAGCCTGTAGTGGGGTGCTCTATAGCGAGTACAACCCTTCTAGGGTTTGCTATTTGTATCCTCATTCCTGCTAGTGAAAACCCTCCTTCTTTTTACCTAAACTGTCTTTTGCCTAGCTAGGACTCTCCTAGCTATGGCTCCTAATCCTACCGCTTATTTTCACATGGAATCAGAGCACACATGCTCCTGGCCTGTGGGCCCCTCTATCGCTTCCGCTGCCCTACGTTGTGTCGCGCGCCCCGTGGCACGCGACCTCATATTTTTCATCCCGCCGCGCGCTCGGGTCGCGCGGCGGTTTTCTGCCCGCCGTGCGCCCTGAGGCGCGCGGCGGTTTTCTCCTCGCCGCGGCGCCCTCGGGGCCCGCGCGCCGGCCTTTCCCATCACTTCGACGCGGCGCCTTGGGGGCCCGCGCGCAGGCCCCTCTCGTCGCCTCGTCGCGGCGCTTTGGGGGCCCGCAAGCCGGCCCCTCTCGTCGCCTTGTCGCGGCGCTTTGGGGGCCCGCGCGTCGGCCCCTTACGTCGCCTCGTCGCGGCGCTTTGGGGGCCCGCGCGCCGGCCCCAACCGTCGCCTCAACGCGGCGCCTAAGGGGCCCGCGCGCGGCCCCTTCCGTCGCCCGTCGAGCCGCCCTCGTGGGCCGCGCCCTGCTTCTTCGTGGCGCCCTGGTTACCCCCTGCCGCCTCCCTTTCGTTCGTGACCCGCCCCTCCTACTTCCCACGCTCCTCCCTCCATTAGGGTTTGGGGTAAGGAGTGTGGGGGTGGCGGGTATGGGGGTGGCAGTTGTGCATTCCTCCCTTTGCTCCTCCTCCTCCTTCGTCTCCCACTGCTGCAGCTGACGCTAAGGGGGGTGGATGAGTGGGAGACTGGGGTTTAGGGTTTAAGGGGGGTGCGTGGGAGTGGAGCTAGGGTTTGAGCAGTGGGCGTGTGCCGAGAGTGTGGGGAAGTTGGGGGAGGTTGAGTGGAGGCAGCAGTCTTGTCGTCAGCAGCAGCAGCAGTCCGGAGGCTACAATCTCCGGTAGTCGCCAGTCGCCCGTGGGTCCGTTGCTCGTCTGCTGCTACTTTTAGCCGCGGGGCCAGTTACTCCAGTAGTCCGGAGCGCTGTTCCGGTAGCCACTGAGCCAGCAGCTCGTCTGTGTGTCTGCAGCGTCAGCAGTCGCCTCCCATCTTCTCTCACCCACAGCTCCTCCTCCTCCTCACTTGTCCGCTGTGATTAGCTCTAGCTTTGCTTATCTGTGTAAACTCCTGCTCTATACCTGCTTTCTCACTGTGCTGATTACACCCCACTTTGGCTATGGGGGTGTGTCAGAATGTTATGCTCTAGCCTGTAGTGGGGTGCTCTATAGCGAGTACAACCCTTCTAGGGTTTGCTATTTGTATCCTCATTCCTGCTAGTGAAAACCCTCCTTTTTACCTAAACTGTCTCTTGCCTAGCTAGGACTCTCCTAGCTATGGCTCCTAATCCTACCGCTTATTTTCACAGCCTTGTGGCCTTGAACCAATGCTCGAAATGTGTGGTGACGTTGTGATCCACCCTC